CAGATCCTAAAAGTTCTCATCATGAGAACAAAAGCATTTTCCCCTCTTTTTTCAAAAAAAAAAATGTGTGTGTGTTTTTACTGATTTCAGAGAGCGAGGAAGGGAGAGGGAGAGAGAGAGAAACATCAATGATGAGAGTCATTGATCGGCTGCCTCCTGCATGCCCCCTACGGGGGATTGAGCCCGAAACCTTGGGCATGTGCCCTGACCAGGAACCGAAACGTGACCTCCTGGTTCATAGGTCGACGCCCAACCGCTGAGCCACACCGGCTGGGCCCCGTCTTTTTTCACTTGTATCTGTATGAAATGATGGATGTTGACTAGACTTACTGTGGTCATCATTTCACGATATATGTCAAGCCATTGTGCTGTACCCCTTAATCTTACACGGTGCCGTGCGTCAATGACCTGTCAATAAAACTGACAAACACAGAACAGATAGGAAAGATTTTCTTTGCATTTTTTTGTTGAGCTAAGACTGAGGCCCCCCCCGGCCCCCCCGATATGCCCTCAGGAAGCAAGCTTTCTGAGTTGGGCCCGCCCCAAACTGACACTTTGGGGGCGAGGGGCGAGGCTGGGGCGGCGAGGACGTTGCTCACACGGGGCCAGCAATCGCCGCAGTCGTTTGTCCCGTCTGCCACCGCGTTGGGGCGAGGCCACATCCAGCAGGAGCTCACTGAACGGGTGGCACAAGGGCGGGAGTGCCAGGCCCTTACATTTTGCGCCCTGGGTACTTGGCCGCCTCAGTGCCGAGCTGGTGGCTCCTCCCGGCTCAGCTCCTCCTCTCACCTGTCCTGTCCCGATGGTGCCCCTGGCCCTGCCCCGCCGCCCGTGGGGGGGGTGGGGTGGGAGCTGCAGCCCTGCCCAACCCCTCCAGCAAGCCCGCCTTCCTCCCGACCTGCCCTGACACTTGCCATTTCTCAGCCGCTTCTTGCTGCCCCCGGTGGGTGCCAGCCCCCTGTGCTTGCTGCCTCCCAGCAGCCTCCATCTCTTCTACAGATCCTTCCAGAAAGATCGCCTTCTCAGGGAGGTTGGCCAGACCCACCCCTTTCATTTGCGCCTGCTTACCCCCACACTCCCGATCCTCTTCGCGCTTTGATTTTCTCCCCGTGGCATTTGTTTGCTCATTTCATTTCCTCCCCCACCCCCACCCGAAAGTGCCATGAGGGCAGCAGGTTTCGTGTTTCATTCCCTCTGTGTGCACAGCGCCTAGCTGACGCCTGTCACCCTGTCACCGGTTGCATTGGCTGGGTAGGAGACAATGCATGGGGGAGTCGTTTCAGATCACCCTTGGGCCGCTGGTGCCCCAGGCCCCTCCTGGCAGCCCCAGCGTGACTCTTGGCCCGGCAGGTGCGTGACCAGGTTCTCATCTGGGGTAAAACAACAGAGCTCTGCCCCCAGAGACCGCGCTCCCCGAGGGCCTTTGTCTTTTTTGGCCTCGGCTCATCAGAAGCTTTGTCTCTGGAAAACCAACAGAGCCCTCTGCCAGAGAGGTCGCCAGGACCTGCTGGTTATTTCAGCTGTCCCCAGGCTCTCCAGCAGGCTGCCCCGCCACAGGGAGGCCCCGGGAGCCCGGTCAGGTGATGGGCTTCCCGCTCGGCTGCTCAGAGCACATCTTCAGGTGGCCTCAGCCCGTGTGCTTTGCAGCTCTTCTAGACAACAGCCCACCCCGCCTGTCCGTCACGACACTTTTTCTTTTTGGTTAATCCTCATGTGAGGATATTTTTTCCCCATTGAATTTTAGAGAGTGGAAGGAAGGAAGGAAGGGAGGGAAGGAGAAACATCTATGTGAGAGAGACACAGCGGTTGGTTGCCTCCTACACACGCCCTGACCGGGGCCGGGGATCGAACCTGCAACCCAGGTACATGCCCTTGACCAAGAATCAAACCCGTGACTCTTTGGTGTGTGGGCCAATGCTCTAACCATTGTGAACACTGGCCAGGGCATGGTCATGCCACTTCTATGAGTGCCTTTATCTATAAACAAGCCCAGAACCCACGGGAGACCTAACTGTAGCAGACCCAGCAGCCCTGCTGTAGAATGGGGGTCACGGAAAAGAACAGGAGCCCTCGCAGAGCTGGCTGGCAGCGCAGGTTCCCTCTGCTGCTGCCCGAGGAGCAGCGAGGCAGGGCAGGGCCCCTACCGGTGCTCAGCAAGGGTCCGTCCCAGCCAGTGCTGCTCTCACCGAACCGACGAGCCTTCCTCGTGGAGCTTGTTGAGTCGGGGGGTCGAGCACCTTCCAGACAAGTGGAAGGAGGGGTGAACGCTTTATTCGCCAAAGGCCCCTCCTTCCTTAGCTCCCAGGAGTGCACCTTGTTTGTGTCTGCTTTCTCTTCTGAGAAGGGGAGGGTGGTGAGTAAAGAAAATGTTGGGAAAGTCACCCCAGATAAGGTACTGAGCTGGTCTCGGCTTGAATTTGGAAAATACCACCCGCCACCCAGATTTACTGAGGTATATTGACAAATGAAAGTTGTATATCTTTATGGTGTACACCATGATGTTTTGATTATGAAATGATTATCACAGTGAAGCTAATGAGCATGTCCATCCCCTCACATAAGACCATTTATATTTTTTTGTGGTGAGCACATTTCACATCTACTCTCTTAGCAGATATCAAGTTTGCAGTACAGTATTGTTAGCTGTAGTCACCATGCTGGACATGAGCTCTCTGGAAGTTATTCGTCCTGTGTAACTGAATGTTTATAACCTTCGGCCAACGCTCCCCATCCCACTTGCCCACCCCCAGCCCCGGGCAAGCACCATTCTACTCAGTGCTTGTGCAAGTTGGACTTTTTTAGATTCCACGCGTAAGTGCGATCTTGCAATATTTGTCTTTCTGTGCCTGGCTTATTTCACCTAGCATAATGTTTTCTAAGTTCATCCAGGGTGTTGTAAATGACAGGCTTTCCGTCTCTTTAAAGGCAGAATAATCTTCCATTGTTTATATATTGTGTATCCAACACATTCTCATTCACTCACCCGTCAATGGACACTTAGGTTGTTTCCATAACTTGGCTTTTGTGAAAATGCTGCAGTGAACACGGGGTGCAGATGCCTCTTCAAGATCCTGATTTCACTTCCTTTGGCTAAATACCCAGAAGTGGGACTCCTGGATCATAGGGTCATTCTATTTTTAATATTTTGAGGAACCTCCATAGTGTTTCCCAAAACATCAGCTTGGATCTTTTTTTTTTTTTTCCCCTAGCTTGGATCTTAAAGGACTTGGAGTCCAGTCCATTCTTAGAATGTCTGGTCGGCCTTTTCACTGTAGTTTAAAAAAATGAAAGGGGACAGGATTAAATGTCTCCCTATAAGTATAGGCATGAAGGACAAGGCAATGGGGCCCTGGCTAAATCAGCTTATTTCCGGTCCGTGAAAATGTTAAGTATTTCATGATTCTCTTTGAAAATCCTCAAAGGAATGTTTTGTTATGGAACTCTTAAGCTGAACAATCTACATTCCCACCTTAGTTTTAGCTTCTTATTAAGTGAATTTTCTTTAAGTCTTTCTGTGTTGGGTCCTTCTGAAATGGATTATTGACCAAGAATTAGGCCACTCTCGTGTGCCAAGCTGAGTAGCTTGAAGTAGGAAAGCCTCCTGTGATTGTTGTTCATGGTCGGAAGCCAGCGGAGTGAGGCTGGGAGTGAACCAGCAGGTCCACGAGTGTGTGCTGGGCGCCCTCCTTGTGCAAGGGCTCTTTCTTCTAGAAAGGGAGAAGTCTTTGGGGCCTCAAGATCAACAAATAGCAGTTGAATCTAATTGACTTTGAAATAATAGCTCACCTTTTGGAAAACAGAAAAATGTGCATTTCTGAACAGTTGATTCATTGGCCTCCAGATGACCGTGACCGGTTACTTGGACATCTTTTTTATGGTTAAGTATGTGTCTGCCCATCCTTCTGAGGTCTTCCAGAATTTACATACCTCCAACTAGCCACATCCACTCGCGTTGGCCGCTGGGTTGGCTGAACCTGCATTTTGATAAAATCCCCAGATGATTTGTATGCACATCAAAGCGGGAGAAGCACTGGTTGAGCATGTCTTTAGATTGTCTTATTAAAAATTACATTGTCAAGATGTAAAGCGACACAGTTCCATTAAGAAATAAAAATAATTCCTTCCTACCATTTTATTAATGAAATATTTCAAAGACACAGCAAAATTAAAAGAACCTACAATGAGCTCCCTTAGAATTTCCCCTTAGGCCCGGCCGGGAGTGGCTCAGTGGTTGAGTGTCGACCTAGGATCCTAGGCGATCGGGGTTCGATTCCCGGTCAGGGCACATGCCCGGGTTGCGGGCTCGATCAGTGACTCTCTCATCATTGATGTTTCTATCTCTCTCTCTCCTTCTCCCTCTCCTTTCCTCTCTCGGAAACCAATAAAGATATATTAAAAAAAAAAAGAATCTCCCCTTAGGTTCTACCATGAACTTCTTTCTTTACATTTCCTTTCCCCCCCAATTACTTTCTGCCAGGAATTTTGCATAGAATTGTTTGTTTGCAGCATGACTGTTAGAAAGGGTCACATCTTGGTCATCAGGGTCTCACCCTTTCTTCTAGAAGCTTCAGTGGGTTTGGTAACGTCACAGCCAGTGTGGGAATTTCTGGTGAATCAGAGAAGCATGGTGGGTGGCAGTGGGGGAGCCCTGGGGTCACGCAGAGTGGCGTGCTGGTCCCTCCCCTATCCAAACACCGGGCCTCAGCATTCGCGTGTATACAGTGAGTGGGTTGAGCGAGGTCACCTCTAATGCTGCTCCCGCCCCTGTGATTATAGGCTCGTTGCAAATATTATCATCATCACTGTTTCTCAGGTGGAGAAACTGATGACCCAGTGAAATATTCGAGTAATAAGGAAAACATGTGTTGGCATGGAAAAGTGATTATTTCCTAAGCTACTGAGTAAAACACAGCTGCGCTGGCGGTTTTCACTCTGTTTTCATGTCAGTTTCTGTTCTTTCAGGAAACCTCACAGAAACATGAAGCCCTCAGCCACCTGGAACTCGGAGGCTCAGTGGGGACCGACTGCGGCTTCTGGAATGTCCAGGTGTTCTGCAGATGTGAGAGTTTATCCTGCACTCAGCAGCTGGAGTCCCGACCAGATGCAAGGCTTGGGCTTCGGCTCTGACGTCCCTGGGCACAGAGGGGTCGCTTTCTAATTGGCTAAAGGGCAGTTATTGACATTGATGTCTGATAGTTGCACACAGCCAGTCATTTTAGGGAGCTGTTGTGGGGAGAGTGAAATTTGGGGGTGCAAGTTTCGTGACTCTCTTGAGCTAGGATTCTAAATAGGAGCCTCATTTCTGCAGCTCCCACCCTTCGTGCAGGCACCACCACCGTCCCCTCCACCAGAGCACGGGGCCTCAGCATTCTCATCTTTGCACTGAGTGTGTTGCAATATCTTCTTGCAAAACACTGATCTCCCAAGACTCCCTGCATTGAGCGTGAGCGGAAGGGGACTCTCAGAGAAGTCTCTCGTGGTGGCCCGCCATCGTTCCATATAATCGGAATCCTCCCCCTCCCACCATGGCCTGGCTTTTTCTAAAGGTTTTATTGGTGGGAGTGGGTTCCTTGGGATGTCTTTATCCTGTTGTGGATTTTTGCTTCAGTGGGGAAACGAGAGGCCAGAAACCGAACTTTGTGATCATACTGGCAGATGACATGGGGTGGGGTGACCTGGGAGCAAACTGGGCAGCAACAAAGGACACTGCCAACCTTGATCAGATGGCTTCCCAAGGAATGAGGTGAGTCTTGAGGATGCTAAGTCGGCTTGTTTTTGTTTGTTTTTTAATATCTTTTTATTGATTTCAGAGAGAGGAAGGGAGAAGGGAGAGATGGAAACATCAATGATGAGAGAGTCGTCATTGATCGGCTGCCTCCTGCACGCCCCCTGATGGGGATCAAGCCCGCAGCCCAGGCATGTGCCCTGACCGGGAATCGAACCGAGATCTCCTGGATCCTAGGTCGATGCTCAACCACTGAGCCACTCTAGCCAGACAAGTTTGCTTCTTTTTGGATGTGTTACTTGCCTCTTTTGGGGGGAGGGGGCAGCATGAAGCATTTAAAGAGTAATTAATGGGTCTTTGTTGATTTGATTATGTGACTGATCAATTTGCTATGAAGCCAGTACAGCCTCGTGGAGAAATCCATCCATCCACCCATCCTTCCAGCTGACAACACTTGGAATCTGTGTGTGTTAGGACATCAGAATACCAATGTGAACAAGATAAAAGCCCTTGCCCTCGAGGTACTTAGTGTCTGGTCATGGAGACAGGTTCAGTGGAAAGTAAGGATTAGGATCTAGCACGTGAATCGGCATCAGGAATTTTTGGAGTTTCTGGGGAGGGTTTGGAACCCAGCCTGGGGGTACAAGGGAGACCTTGGAAAAACTGAGAATCAGGGAGGCACAGAAGGCAAGAGGATTGACTTGCGAGGTGACTACTTATTAGGCACCGTTACCCCAAAGGGTCTGCGAAGGTGAGGGGCTGTGCATCTGAACGGATGGAAGTGTTCATAAACGTTTTGTTCAAATGCCTAACCCCCTTTCCCACATAGCTAGAATACAGGTGTCAGCTTCCAGCCCTTTGGGCTTTCTTCTCGGGCTGACCTTGATGCCACTGGCTGGCCCAGATCCCATCTGGCGTGGCTGAATCGTCCATCCTGCTCTGTGGGATCACTCCAGCTCGCCATGGAGGACAACGCTGGGGCATCTCCACAGGGCTTCAGCTGCTTGCACCCTGGAGCCGGGAGCTTTCCCCGAGATGTGGACCCAGGGGCCCTTGCAAGTGGTCTCACCTTTCCAGTCCATCTTCCTCCTCTCAGCCAAGGTGACCTTGCTAGAAACACTCCTCTGCTTCCAGTCCTTCAGAGGCATTTTGTGTCCCTAAGGCTAAAGTCCAAACTCCGAACGGCAGCTTATGAGACCAGCGCGTGCTCCTCACTGGTCCCCGCATGGCCCCCCTGGCTCTCAGCCGTCCTCGGCTGTGGCCTTCCTCTTTTTGGGCCTCACCTGTGTGATTAGTTCTTCCTGGTGCACTTTCCATTTCCTATGTTTAATTAGTTTCTACTCACCGTTTGGGTTCCAGTTGCACATGAGGGCCTCAGGAAAGCCTGCTGGCATGTCTCAGGTGTACTCTGCCATCACCCTTGCAGCTCTCCATGGTGATCGTCTAACCATCTGACCACCTGTGTTGGGTTGAATAGCACCCTCCCAAATTCATGTCCACCCAGAACCTCAGAACATGACCTTACTTGTTAACAGGGTCGTTGCAAATGTACTTAAGGATTTTGATGACATCATGTAGGATTTGAGGTGGATTCTAAATCCAATGACTGGTGTCTTTATAAGAAGAGGAGAGGACCCAGAGGGACACGCAGAGGAGATGAAGTGGACACGGAGGCAGAGGCTGGAGTGATGCATCTACAAGCCAAGAACACCAAGGCTTGCTGGCAACCCCAGGGAGCTGGGAGGGAGGCGTGGGCCAGACTCTCCCTCTGAGCTTCCAGAAGGAACCAGTTGTGTAGGCATCTGGATTTCACACTTCTCGTCTCCCGAACTGGGAGAGAACAAATTTCTATCATTTTCAGCCACCTCGTTTGTGGTCATTTGTTATGGCAGCTGCAGGAAAACATGCGCCTCGATTCTAGCTCTGGGCCTCAGGAAGAGAAATGCCCTGTCTGTCCTTCCTCCTTTAGCCCGTAGCGCTGTGCTTGTCACATACTAGGCAATTCACAAATCTTCGTTCATCAATAAATGAGCTTTTGGAGTTCACGATGCCTCGAAATGTCACCCCAAATTTTCCACTTCGGAATTTTTTCCGGGGAAAGAGTGAATCCATACCATTCACCAGATTGTCACAGGAAAACGGGTTGCCCAAAGCTTAGGAACTTCTGCTTTTAGTGTTGAGTGGGTTGGTGGGGAAATAGCAGGCCCAGTATTGAAACTAGCAAGTTGGAGGCCTGGACCTCTTTGCAGGAGCCGCCCCCCCTCCCCCCCGCACACAGTTTGGTGGGCTCTCCTATTTTTTCCTCGCATTAATGAAAATATTTTCTCCATCTGAGCCTTGTGACGGGCCAGGCAGACAGCCCTCTGGCCCGAGGTCCTGGGCTTTTCACTTCGTGCTTTGCTGCCCGGAAGGCGGCTTCCTGTGGGGCCGGGATTAATGGATCCCTGGCTTGCCCTCCTGCCTGCTCGTGCCAGTGGGGAACCGTGACTCTCAGACAAGAACTCTCATTGCGAAACAGGGCCACTCGAGAGCTTATCTTTCCTATTGTCCTTCTAAAAAGCTAGCATATTAGTTTCCTAAGACTGACGACAAATTACCGCAAACCCGATGGCTTAAAGCGACACAGATTTTTCCTCCTGCAGTCCCGAAGGCTGGAAGCCCTAAATCAAGGTGTCCGCGGGGTTGATCCCGCCTGCAAGCTCGGAGGCGGAATCAGTTCCATGCCTCTCTCCTGTGTCTGCTGGTTGCGGAAAACCCTTGGCCTGCCCTGGTGTGTGGATGCAGCACTCGGGTCTCTGCCTCTGCGTTACACGGCCTTCTCCCTGCGCACATCTGTGCTGGGCAGTGCTGGCGAACATGGGAAAGTTTCAAAAGGATACGATGGCCGGGCTGGCGCGGCTCAGCGGTTGAGCATCAACCTATGATCCTGGAGATTGTGGTTTGATTTGGGGTCGGGGCACATGCCCGGGTTGTGGGCTTGATCCCCAGTGGGGGACGAGCAGGAGGCAGCCCATCAGTGACTCTCTCATCATTGATGTTTCTTTCTCTCTCCCTCTCCCTTCCTCTCTCTGAAATCCATAAAGATATATTTAAAAATAAATAAATAAAAAGAGTATGATAACCAGAAGAAAATCAAAATGTTGGAATTGAAATGAAAAGGCCAGGGACTTAGTAATCAACTTCAACTTCTCAGGCCATTAAGAAACTTGCATGGCAATGCAGGCTAGAAAAACGAATGGCTTACGCTTCAAGGGAAAGGACAGGTGCATTTTACTGGCTCCTTCCAGCTCTCCGGGCAGTCTGAAAAATATGTAAATCACCGAAACCATTAGGAGAACCCGGTGAATAATCTTGATGATCCAGTGCGAGTTTAATGCTCGTGGGCAGCACATCCAGGGAAGGCCAGTGCTGGTTTCACCTGATATCAACAAGGGACATATTTCTTGAAAATTCTCAGGTTAAGAAGTTACTTGCACAAGTCTCCTGGCTGGGTGCCTGGATTCAGGCAATGGCTTAGGATGTGCAGACTGGGGTTTGAGCCCCTGAGCAGCCGTGCCTCACAGGTGTCATGGGGAGAGACAGGAAGGATGTCCAGCGACACCGAGAAGTGGTCCCAGCCAGCAAAGCCCAGGCCCTGCCCACTCCCTGGAATTGTCCACAAGGCTGGCTCAGACGGGAGGCTGACTGTACAGTGTAAATACATTTACACAGGTGGGCTGACTTGCACTATGTTAACTCTGCACCTTGAATTCTCTCCCCTTCTGCTTCACTTCGCCTCTGCCGACAATTTCATTCTGCTCAAAGTCACTGCTGTTGCTGAGAGTTATAGGCAGTGGCTTAGCTAGAAATCAAAGGCCATTATTCACCCCTGGATGATCAGAGGGTCTCAGAGGCTTGAGGCTGTTTCTAAAAAGGGCCCCAGCAGGGAATGAGCGGAGCCATTGATTCAGCCAAACGCCCGGTTTGGTTTCTGTTCTCAACATTGGCTTTTGCAACCATTCACCCATCCTTTTACCTTTAAGGACTCTCTCAGCCATCTTACGCCCTGGGGATTTTGCAATAATGTGAAGGAAGGTGGCAGCCAGGCTTGGGCTCAAGACTGCAGGGTTGCCGTGAGGTCTTGAGGCCTGGTGGACACCCGGAGAGCTAGGGCAGGAAGAACTTCTGGAAGGAGACTCATGTTAGCAAGAGAAAGACCATTCCCCCACCATGTAATTCCCCCACCATGTAATTCCAGCTGTATCTCCCCCCCACACACAGTAATTCAGATTCAGGGTGAATACTCTCATCAGGGGGACATCCTGTCCTGCGACTTTTATTATGAAATCTGCGATGGTTGCTTTGGGAGGTCCTGGCCTATCTTTTCACTGTAAGGTCTCAGCGTCATGGGACAGGCAGTTTTACAGCTTTGCCCTTGGGTAAGCAGGTCAAAGAGACCTAGAAATTGTGTCCTGCCCACTTGGCGCAAGCTGAGGCCTATAGCAGGGGTCTTAACCTTGTGGCTCTGTTTTAGTAGGTGGGGTCAGACCGGAAATGGTGATCTGGATGGCAGCTGATCTTAGAGAAGAGGAACTGAAATATTAACCAGCAAGGCCTTGGCGCCAGCCTGCTTCACAACTGCAGGTGCAAAATAGCCTGTCCAGTGGCTCTCGTTTGTTCCCCTTTAAGCCTCCCGACTACATTCATGCGACGGTGAATCTCTACTAAGAGCAGGTCTTGAGCTCTACCCTCCAGGGGTTTACAGTCTGCTGGTCGATAAAGACCAGGACACCAGCCTTTGGAGTGCAGAAGGGGGATGAGCAGGAATTCCTGACATGACCCCCCCTTAATAACCCGAATTGACATCCTAGGGGTGGAATTAGCACCTTATTTACTGAGACTGTCCGTGCTGGGCTTCTCACCTTTTGGGTGATAAGAGCGAAACCCCTCAGAGCTAAAATCATGTTAAAGGTAGTGCTGTGGGACTCTAGGAAAAGAAAGGCCATTTCTCCCGAAGGAAGCCACGAGGTAGTCAGCCAGACTCGTCTATTAGGACGTGATGCCGAGACCGTAAAGATGAGTAGGAATTGGCCGGATGAAGCAGGAGGAAAGAGTGTGGCAGGCAGAGGGGAAAGCATGAACCCAAAGCAGATACTCCTAGAGGCTCCCCCAGGTACTGTCCTAGGTGCTGCGAGTGTATCTGTCATCCAGACAATAAAAAGGCCTTGCGCTCCCGGTTGAATACGGCTGGGACAGGGAGCGGGAGGCTGAACTAGTCTACAGGCAGCCAGTGAAGGGCATCGTAGGCCTAGTGTTCGGACTTGATCCCCAAGGCAGTGGGGAGCCCTGAGCACTGACACCATCGACCTGCCTTTGAGATGGATTGTTCCAGTTCACTAGGGGTGGTCCACTGGTGGCCTGGAGGGCAGGGGCACGTTGCAGGTGCCTCCAGGATGGCTTGGCTCAAGGTCGTGGCAATGGGAGACGTGTCCGGTCTAGGAGGCACTGAGATGCCTGTAGGTGCATCCTGTTTTCATGTCCCTTGTGTGTGTCCTTCATTGAGTGTGAATGTCACATGTCCACAAGGAAAAGGCAATGAGGAAAGTAAAAGATTGCCAAGGATCATGCCAAGTTCAGCTGTCAGGAATCTTTTTTTGAAAAGATCAATAGTATGAGCGGTGCATGAATGAATGAATGTGTGAATGAATGAATGAACAAAGCACATAAGCTTTGCTATTTCCTGCCACGTTTGCTTGTAGTTTACAAAGGGCCTGCATACTGGATGTCTCAGTGGTCCCACCACCAACCTTCAGAAGGATAACTCGGCCGTCTTCCCATTTAACAGTCAGAAACGGGGGCTGAGGTGAGCGGCTGTGTCTAAGGCCTGCGTAAGCGATTTTCTAGTTCTTACTTCCCACCCCTGTCCCTCTGCTCACAAAGGCCACAGCAAACAATTTTTCAAACCCACTTCCACCTCCAAGCCTGTAAATTATGAATGGAGCAAACATAGGTTTTACTCTAGTCATGTAGCGGTTTAGAGAGTTGCCACGGACGGTCTCATCATCTGTTTTAACTCCCTTATAAATAAAGCTGGACACGCTTAACTGCAATGTTACGTCCCCTCCAGGGCACTCACGACGGCGTGTCCAGCGCTCGGGCCCCCTGGTTGTAACCCACGTAATTTATGCGATGGCAAGTTGCTTCGGTTTCCGTCTGGCTGTGTCTTAATTTGAGCCGATTTTCCTGTTAACAGGCTGCTGTAACGTCTGGCTCTGCGTCTCCAGCTTTGCTTTACAATGCAGTTCAGACTTTAATTAGGACCCCTGTTGGTGAACCGGCCTGAGCCTGCCCGGATGGATCTGGAGAGAAACAAAGGACGCTTTCCCAAAAGCAAGACCAGTTTGTTACTTATTAATTAGTCCCTGCCGCATGGGGACAGAGGTGGGAAAGGGGGAAGGAGACAGGCAGGTCAGCTCCCAGGGCCGTGTGGGATGCTGGTAGGTTTTTATTTGAGAGGGGTGCAGTTAGGGCTCTCCAAAGACTCGGAAATAAAGGAAGTAAGTTAAGCTATGAACTTGATCACACGGTAGGGAAGGAACTGAGCCCTAAAAACATCAGCTTAAGCGATTATGTGGAAAGCGGACTAACGTGTTTTTTCCAATCAAATGACACGGGCCTCTTTCGCTTCCAGTTCTGTTTGTTCACCAGATTTTGCTGGAGCAGCTCCATCCCAGCAAGGCGCCCTGCTTGGGGTCGGAGTCGCAGCTCTCAGGCCCATCCTCAGGGAACCCGCAGCCTGGGGAGGAACTGGGAGCTACATCTTGCTGTAGAAACGGGCTCCAGCTGTTTCCAAGGTGATGGCGTTAACGTGGCCGAGGAGAGACCACACTCGGGAGCGTCATGAGAAACGGGCAGGCGGGCTCAGGATTGCCAGGTGTTTTTGGCACCGTCCAGGCGTATTACCTGGGGCTGCTGTAATACATATAACCGCGGGGCGCTTACACAATGTACATTTATTTTTTACGGCGTTGGGGGCTGGGAAGTGCAAGGTCAGGTTGCCAGCATGGTCAGGTTGTGCTGACTCCTTCCCGGGTAGCAGATGGCCAACTCCTCACTGTGTCCTCACATGGTGGGGAGAGAGCGAGCTCCGGTCTCCTCCTCTCTTCTTTTTAACACTTACCAAGGATATTTTTTCCCCATTGATTTTTAGAGAGAGGAAGGAAGGGAGGAGGGGGAGAGAGAGACAGACCCATCGGTTGATTGCCTCCTGCACGCACCCCAACCAGAGCCAGGGATCGAACCTGCAACCGAGGTACGTGACCCTTCTGTCCATGGGCTGACGCTCTAACCACTGAGCCAAACTGGCCAGGGCTTCTCTTCTTATAAGGGCACTACTACCACCCTCATGACTTCATCTAAACCTCTTCACCTCCCAAAGGCTTCACCTCCAAATACCATCACTTTGGGGGGGGGGTAGGGTTTTAACACATGTATTTAGGGGGACGCATGCATTCAGTCTGTAGCGCCAGGGGTTAAGAAGTGGTGGTCAACAGCCTGTGAGCATCCCAGACCCACTGGCAAAGCTCAGTCCACCATGGACCAAAGTCCCTTGTGCTTAGCCACCGAAGGGCTTTTTCTCTGATCCATTTGAACGCCCTTAGCGTTAATGAACTCCACACCCGCCACGGCAGGCTGCAGAGACGGAGTTCCTGTGTGATTTGTGAGCAGGAAGAAAACGTGTTGACCGCTNGCTTAGCCACCGAAGGGCTTTTTCTCTGATCCATTTGAACGCCCTTAGCGTTAATGAACTCCACACCCGCCACGGCACTTCAGAGACGGAGTTCCTGTGTGATTTGTGAGCAGGAAGAAAACGTGTTGACCGCTGACGCTCTGGTTCCCGTGCCCATCCCTGGACGTCAGTTGGGCAGCGGGCATTCTGGTGTCTCTCCCCGGCTCACACGGTTGTGTGGCGGCGAGTCGGGCTTGGTGACCAGTTTGACAGGAGTGAGCAGTGGGCAGTGAGCAGGAGTAAGGGGATGTGATGCAAGCATGGCGACTGCTAACAATGCTGTGTTGTGTGTTTGAAAGTTGCTGAGAGGGTAGATCTTAAAAGTTGTCATCACAAGAAAAAAATTTTGTATGCGAGTTGCTGGATGTTAATAAATTTATTGTGGTGATCATTTCACAAGATATGCACATATCAAATCATTGCATCACACACCATAAAGGAATACAATATTGCACGTCAATTATACCTCAGTAAAACTGGAAAAAAAGAACAGGAACATTTTTCCACGTGGCCATAATCAGGAAAATGAACAATAACTCCCTAACGGCATCTTATATCCAGTCAATATTAAATTTCTCTAATTAGCCCCCAGATGTGTCCTGTTAGCTTATTTGAACTGAGATCCAATCAAGGATCATGTATTACACTGGGTTACGTCTCTTCAGTCTCTTTTAATGTACACTACGTCCCTCTATCCAGTTTTCCCTTGGATATTGACTTTTTAAAGAGATCAACCAGTTGTCTTGTAAAATGTCTGGAGACTGGTTTGTGAAATCATTAACTTGTCGTGTCAAACAGTTTGTTCTATTAGCTATATTTTCTGTAACCTGGAAATAAGGTCCAGGGCTCTGAGGAGATTCGAGTTGAACGTCTTTGGCAGGAATCTTTGACGTTATGAACTTAATGTTGTCTCTCATCAGGAGAGACACAGAAGGTCAGGTTGTCCTACTGTTAGTGACATTTGTCCTACTGTTAGTGACATGTAAGTTTAATCATGTTTATTGAGGGTAGGAAAATGGTTAGACTTTTTATATTTCTCCATAGTGTCTGAAAAGGGGCTGGGCGAGTGGCAGTGTGTAGTGGACACAGTCAGCTCTTGTTACTGGCGGTAGTTATGTTCTATTAGGTCACTGTGGACACTGAATTAGGGAATACTGAGCCACTGTTTCTAGGTTCCTGTGTGCCTCTGGCCACATTGTCATCAGCGGATCAGTCCAGAACCTTGTTTTATGTGTGTTTCTGTTCAAAGCCACCTTATTTAATACATTTTTTTGACTCATTGACACTGAACTCGCAGCTAACAGCACTATAACACATTCCTCAATGAAGCGTATAGAACACGTGTTTTTTCCCATAAGGCACATCCCACCCAGCCTTTGTGAGCTTAGGACCGCTGGCCAGCACTTCAGCACTCTGTTGAGGGCCACTTTAAATAGCAAAATCAGCGATAGGAACAAAAATGCAAACCCCACGGTACCAACCGACTATGAAAGGGAGGACACTTGCTTATAGTATGAGAGCCGACCTCAGCTGGGAAGGTGGACATTGAGTGGCTCAGATTTATTTAAAGGTCTGCCTGTGTCTGTATATGTGCTTTAGGGCCGAGTATTGATTTTGGGGTTACAAATAAACTTAGGAAATATGGACTCTTTGGATAAAGAAGATCAACTAGATATGCTGGATTGCGTCAATTGGAATTTCCTGTGTGACCTTGGGTTAGTCACATTACCTCTCTGGGCTTCATTTTCCTCACCTGTTCTGCTACTGGGCGAGCTTTCTTCCCCCAGCGCTGGAATCCCCGGAACTGAGTGGGAATTGACTTTTCTCTTGGTTTGGCTCCTGTGGTTGGAGCGATCTCCATCGCTTTCCTTTCCGTGCAGGTTTGTGGATTTCCACTCAGCTGCCTCCACCTGCTCGCCCTCCCGGGCTTCCCTGCTCACTGGCCGGCTGGGCCTGCGTAATGGAGTCACCCACAACTTCGCCGTCACCTCTGTGGGGGGCCTTCCGCTCAACGAGACCACCTTGGCCGAGGTGTTGCAGCAGGCGGGCTACGTCACCGGGATGATAGGTAAGGCGGGTGCCCCGCCGCCTGGGCCCCGTCCCCCACTGCGTCTCCTGGGCTGGCTGCTTTGTGTTTGTGCAGCCCCGACGTGATGCTGCTTCGTCTGCTCACGTCTGCTTTCCTGCCAGTCTCTGGTGTACACGTTAGGAGTGCTTTCGGCCGTAACTGCAGACACCCAACCGTGGGCTAAACCGCACGCGAGCTGTTTTCTTTTCATTCTAATGAGCTTAGGGATAAGCGCTCGCTTTTACTGGCTCAGCCGCTCAAAGGAGAAAAACCATTTCTTTCTGCTCTGCTGTCCTTACTGTGCTGGCTTTGGACCTCCCGCTTGTTGCCTCATGGTTGCAGTAGAGTGGCCTCAGTACCGTTCGCCCGAATTTGGCTTCAAGGAACGAAAAAGAGAGGGAAGGTGGCGCCAGCCCACGTGTTCACTTTTATCAGGAACACAAGTCGTTTCTCGGTCCCTGGGTTGCATGGCCACTCTTCGGTGCAAGGGATGCTGGGAAACGGGGGTCAGGATTACAATGGTCAATTTGGCCTCAGGCACAGGTTCCCAACCCCCCCCCCAAACAAAACCACAGTTCTCTGAACAGGCCGCCTGAGGACTTGGGCGTAGGGCCGGCAAGCGGCAGCGTCTGCCACAGTGCCCACAGCTTGCTTTCCTTCCTAAGCAAGCGCCTCTCACTCAGTGTGTACTTTGTACCAGGCCCTGGGCTCAGTGTCTCTTTGCTCCAGAGAATGGTGGTGCCTTCTGAGGTTGTGGTGTCCCCCACCGTCTAGGTGAAGACGCTGAGTCTCAGGCAGGCGCCGAGACCCGCTCAGTGTCGCCTGGCCGGGAGCGGGTCAGTGTACACAGGTGTGGCTGGTCCCGCTTGTTCCCCTGCTTTGCTTCACTGCCGGCCTCCCCTCCAGGGGCCGAGGCAGCCCAGCCACCCCAGCAGCACCCTCAGGCTGCCTGTGTCTGTGATTCCGACTCCGAGAGCCGGGCCCAGTGGGTTCCTGCCTCCTTCCCCCGTGCGTGGAGTGGCGAGGGAGGGTCGGGCCTGCCGGGAGGGTCCCGCTGTTCAGATCTTGGTGCCACATTAATTTCTTTGCCCCTCTGCCTTGTGGTGGTTTCTTGGGGTCTTTACTCCGAGCAGAATTAGCAGGTCAGAGAGCTGCAGCATTATCAGGGCACTTGGCTCCCAGCACCAGCTATTCCCCCGGGACTTAGTCATTTAGCGCGAGGAGCAGCAGTGCGGCCGAGTCTCCTCATTGGCGGCCAGGTGGCTGCACTTGAACTGCAGCGGGGAGGCAGTTTCTGCACCATCCTCTGCAGGCAGCTGGCGTTGGCCCCAGAAGAAGTTGATGTGACCAGGCAGGGCATCTCTGAGACCGTGTGGGACATGCACCTGCACCCTCTGCAGGGCCCCGGCCCGGGAGGGCAGAGTGGAGGGTGCGGCGGGCGAGGTGCGGTTGCTGTGGGCACTGAAACCTCTTAGAGGGAAGGCGCTCAGCCTGCTGGCTTCTCGGGTTCCCGGGAATGGCTTGTCTTCCCCTTTCACTGTGTGTCCTGGGTAGGTGCTGAGTCACTCTTGCTTGCTTTCTGTCTCCCTGCGGACTCCCTCTGGGTCCCACAGAGCAAGGCTTGGCTTTCTCACTGTGTTTGCTGCCTCCCTTCACTTGTCCTCAGCAAAGGGCAATGCTAATGGAAAACCGAGAGTGTGATCAGCTTCCCAGAGGGGCTGGGAGCTCCCAGGTGGATTCCTCTGAAAGCCTCTCTCTCGTCTTCCTACAGGCAAATGGCATCTTGGGCATCACGGCTCTTATCACCCCAACTTCCGTGGTAAGAATTTTTGGGGGGCTTTGTTTCCTGGGAAACAGAAAATAAAGACCTCCATGTAAAAGGACTGCAGTAACGTTTAAGCTGTCCTGCACCCATGGACATCTCTCCTAAGTTAGGATATCTTCGTNTGGGCGTAGGGCCGGCAAGCGGCAGCGTCTGCCACAGTGCCCACAGCTTGCTTTCCTTCCTAAGCAAGCGCCTCTCACTCAGTGTGTGCTTTGTACCAGGCCCTGGGCTCAGTGTCTCTTTGCTCCAGAGAATGGTGGTGCCTTCTGAGGTTGTGGTGTCCCCCACCGTCTAGGTGAAGACGCTGAGTCTCAGGCAGGCGCCGAGACCCGCTCAGTGTCGCCTGGCCGGGAGCGGGTCAGTGTACACAGGTGTGGCTGGTCCCGCTTGTTCCCCTGCTTTGCTTCACTGCCGGCCTCCCCTCCAGGGGCCGAGGCAGCCCAGCCACCCCAGCAGCACCCTCAGGCTGCCTGTGTCTGTGATTCCGACTCCGAGAGCCGGGCCCAGTGGGTTCCTGCCTCCTTCCCCCGTGCGTGGAGTGGCGAGGGAGGGTCGGGCCTGCCGGGAGGGTCCCGCTGTTCAGATCTTGGTGCCACATTAATTTCTTTGCCCCTCTGCCTTGTGGTGGTTTCTTGGGGTCTTTACTCCGAGCAGAATTAGCAGGTCAGAGAGCTGCAGCATTATCAGGGCACTTGGCTCCCAGCACCAGCTATTCCCCCGGGACTTAGTCATTTAGCGCGAGGAGCAGCAGTGCGGCCGAGTCTCCTCATTGGCGGCCAGGTGGCTGCACTTGAACTGCAGCGGGGAGGCAGTTTCTGCACCATCCTCTGCAGGCAGCTGGCGTTGGCCCCAGAAGAAGTTGATGTGACCAGGCAGGGCATCTCTGAGACCGTGTGGGACATGCACCTGCACCCTCTGCAGGCCCCGGCCCGGGAGGGCAGAGTGGAGGGTGCGGCGGGCGAGGTGCGGTTGCTGTGGGCACTGAAACCTCTTAGAGGGAAGGCGCTCAGCCTGCTGGCTTCTCGGGTTCCCGGGAATGGCTTGTCTTCCCCTTTCACTGTGTGTCCTGGGTAGGTGCTGAGTCACTCTTGCTTGCTTTCTGTCTCCCTGCGGACTCCCTCTGGGTCCCACAGAGCAAGGCTTGGCTTTCTCACTGTGTTTGCTGCCTCCCTTCACTTGTCCTCAGCAAAGGGCAATGCTAATGGAAAACCGAGAGTGTGATCAGCTTCCCAGAGGGGCTGGGAGCTCCCAGGTGGATTCCTCTGAAAGCCTCTCTCTCGTCTTCCTACAGGCAAATGGCATCTTGGGCATCACGGCTCTTATCACCCCAACTTCCGTGGTAAGAATTTTGGGGGGCTTTGTTTCCTGGGAAACAGAAAATAAAGACCTCCGTGTAAAAGGACTGCAGTAACGTTTAAGCTGTCCTGCACCCATGGACATCTCTCCTAAGTTAGGATATCTTCGTGCAGAGCATCGTTTGGGTGCATTTGGGGTGCCTGGGCTCCCCTTGATCTCATACCCGTCTCCCCTGGCACCTTTCCTGTCCCAGCTCCCTGGCTCCTCACCTCGAGCCCTAGTGTTCTCCATGACCTAGTCCCTCACATCTCAGGGAACGTTTGTCTCCCGTGAGGCCCAGACACATCTGGTGTGGTAAGAAGTCAAAACTGTCCGATGGGTTCACCAAAGCAGGGACCCCGGCCAGGCGGGACTTGGGGGAGGGGTAGAGAAATCCTGTGGGAAGCCGCACGCGTAAGCCTGGGCTGGAGAAGAGACAGGACGAGGGAGGGTCTCAGAAGAAAACGCCCACACAGTGTATTCGGGTCTCAATTTAACTCTCACATCCACCCCCCACCCCACCGCACCCCAGAACCCCCAGCCCCGTCCTGCCAGCCTCCCGAGCTCTCGCTGAAATGCCACCTCCTCCTAGAAGCACTTTGAGGTTCCTGCCCCAGCCCCTCCCCAGGCCCAGCACCTGGCCCTAAGGTCTTCCTCCCACCGCTCCCATTGGCCCACCCATTAGCCGTCTCTTACAGCTTAATCTCTGTAATTTACTTTCTCTTCCGATGGGGAAGCTTTTCTAGGGCAGACTTTATTCTTGTATCCCTTAAAGTGTCGTGCGTGCAGTCGATTTTCACCACATACTTCCCGAATGTGCCAGTGGTTGCGTGGGGGATGGTAGGTGTTCAAACCTTCTCTCTACTTCCTCCCGCGCCGGGTTAGCTAATCGCAAGATGTTTTGCAAATCTGGCCTTCCAGCCAGAACCCTGCCACGTGTTTTCTTTGCCTACTACATAGGGATATTCATCAAATCCTCTTTTAATTACACACTCCATGGCACTACTGTGTTAAATCGTGGAAAATTAAATTTTTTGTCCCGGGTGTAAGAATGCAGGCTCACGGAACCGAAGCCAGGCGGGGGTGCTAACCGGCTGCTTCCCTGCCAGGTTTCGATTACTACTTTGGAATCCCGTACAGCCACGACATGGGCTGCACGGACACCCCGGGCTACGACCACCCTCCTTGTCCAGCGTGCCCTCGGGGCGATAGGCCGGCAAGGTAATT